ACATTCCTGTGAAGTTTGGATGAAATTGGCTTAGTGGTTTATGAAGAGATGTCATTTAAAGAAAAAGTTTACGACGGACGGACGACGGACGGACGCCGGACGAAAAGCGATCACAAAAGCTCACCCTGTCACTTTGTGACAGGTGAGCTAAAAAATGGTGGAGCAGTATTTTCCTAGACAGATTTCATGCTTAACTTTTTTATCAACTGTTGCTAATTCACCGTTATAACAGTCAGTCTTTTGAAATATAACATTCATTAAGCTCTACGTGACAATGAAAATAAAATCATAATGTCACTGATTAAACCATTTCTGCTCTGTGATGTAAAGTTGTAAACTTTACTAAGAATAATATGTAGGTTTCTTTTTCAGAGTCCTGTATTCATTAAAGAACGCTAAAATAACTAAATATTACACCAAAATGTATAATTAAATCTTACATTTTATTATTACATTGCGTACTCTCTTTTATAAAGACTTAACCGTTCGTAAACTACGTATAATTTTGAAATAAATCAAAACCAAAGAAAAGCATATGTTCATGAGATAGACTGGTTTATTTTTACTATATAGGTATAATTACCTATACAAGGATGGGAAATTGTACGGAGAAAATGGCTCGCCCAAGGATCGAACGGCTTGCGACTCTGCGCTCCGAAGACAGAAGCTCTTACCTACAGATCTAAGTGTGCGGGTTGAAAACTATATTATTATCGTAAACAAATCAAATTTGACAACATGTTGGGATTATGATGGAGAACAAGTGTGCAACGTTTCAAAGATCTTCGGATTGCAGAGTCGCAAGCCGTTCGATCCTCGGGCGGGCCATTTTCTTCGTGCCGATTTGATAACACATTGTGTGTGACATCATTCGTCCTCCACCTCTGATTCATGTGGTGAAGTTGGCAGTTACTTGTGGTTGTGGAGAACAGGTTAGTAAAGGTACAGAATCCAGGAAAACTGTTTAGGTTAACTGCCCATCGTTACATAACTGAAATACTGTTGAAAACGGTGTTAGACCCCAAACAAACAAAGATAGTTTCAACATTTCTGTATTTGTTATTGTTCCGTTCCGTTAAATATTATTATGCTAGGGTATATTTATACTTTGTGGAACGAAACAGAATCACAATAAATAGAGTTGAAGACATGGTGTGTACACAATGCTGACTGTAATAGTAATATTTCAGCTTTATTAGTGCATGTAATATCAATTTTTATATGGCACGCATGTTTTTTAATTTAATTTGTTTACGATGATTATTAATATTTTTTAGAATTTTATATAATACAAAATAAGTGTACTGGATAATATTATGACGGCCATTCAATACATATTAAAGTGGTCCTGATATCGCCAAAAAATATTTAGATTGTCCACTCAGATTTTTCATTCGTCAGTTTATATGAATAATAAATATTTAATTACTGCAACAAGTGCAAAACATTTAAATATATAAACTTCATAGCGATATGATTTCCTATATTGAATAAGTCAATAACATAGTTTTTTTTTTAAAAACAGGTTGCATGTAATAAATTCATGTACCTGTAATATATAAGGATGAAAAATTCCATTGACAAGAAAAAATAAGTCTTGTTCTGTTCCTTTCCGTAGAATATCATTATTCTATGGGACATTTATACTTTGCGGAACGAAACGGAGCAACTGTTTGCAGTCCCGAAGATTTCATATAAATGGGTATTCAGATGGTTCAGTTCGAAAAAGCCCTAGATCGACTGTTCGCTAGGCAGTTTCAATATTTCATTATTTTTATTTAATATATTTACAATATTTTTGCCGGCCCCGTGTGGTGCCTCAATGTTTGTTCCGTTCCGTTCCGCAAAGTATAAATAGCCAAAATTATTAGTCAAGATAAATGAAGGATAATAGTGTGAAAATAATTGTTGGGGTAAAATTTTACTTTATCGAGATATTAATATAAACAAATTTACCCAATATAGAAAAGGCAGGAAGAAAATCTGGACTTTTTAAATTTTATCAAGATATCGATGGTTCACTGCATCTAATATATATATAAATTTTAGTTGCTGTTATGTTTATAATTGTTAAAACTAACTTGATATATGATATGTTAGTAACACCGCAGAATTCAAATATGCATATTATCAAAGTATCATACATGGATATTCCTAAAATATTTTACCACTACACGATGGATCTTCATCGTGCTTTCCTATCTAAGATAGAAATAATGTATTACTTATTTATTAAATTGAGTAAGTCATTACACATTAATGATGGTTTAGCGTGTTATGCTAAAATTGAAATGGATACCACATTTCTAGACTTGTTGTGTATTATGTATGTATTAAGTATGAGATATAACATACATAACTGCTCTTTTTCCTCAGCCTTCATCAACCAGTAAATTCCTAGCAGGCATTTTATCTTGGACACACTTGGCAGAGCGCGAGGACGGAAATGATGAAGACAGTGAAGATTCACATGAGCATCAAAACATTTTTTCAAGGCTAGCCAAAATGGGGAACCAAACGATATCCTTTTATGAAGGTGATAAGATTTTGGAGATCACGGAATATCTTTTGCCATTATACATACCATGGTGTAGCCAACCTTCATCAACAACCAAACTTTTGGGGTTAAACTTCATGAAGCAATAAAACATCTTAAAGAGTAAAAACTAACCTAACATCTACCAGTCAACTTTTGTATCGAAAAATGGGAAGAGGGATCAACAACTTCATTCAATACCAGCGTATCCAAAGCACACTGGCCTACCCTCCATGAAACAACAAACTAGCTTGGAATACAACACAGCATCCCCAGCAAAATCAACCAAAGAAGGGGAAATGGGGAGGGAATATTAAATGTTAGTACAATTATAAAATTAATATAGGTGTCCAAAACATAACAGAAATTGTCCATGCTTGTAAGATACCTGATAATATTAGCATATGGAAAAGCATTACAACTGACAAATGGATTTTAAAAAACATCCGAGGTTGTTCAGTTGAATAAAATGAAATTCCGAAGCAATTATTCCTAACCTATTAACGTTACTTCAGAGAAAAAGAGGGATTGAGAATGAACTTAATAGATTTTTAACAAGAACTGTCACAGGAGATAGCAAAGTCAGGCTAATAAAATACTGAACGCAGTAAGGAAGAAAATCTATGAAAGGAACATCAATTATGATATAAATATATCGCTCTATCAGTATCAAGAAAGCACTCAAATTCTCTGTATTTTTGCACAACATAATATGCATATGGTCTTGTAAATACATGTTAAACAAACATTTCTATGCCTTAATGGACAAGACAGCAATTTGAAATCTGAAGTCAATCCCTTCAAAACAAATGATAAAAGCAAAACAATTGAAGGTTTTAAAGTAAAATTATAAGTTCAAAGAGCATATAACTCTTGAAAAATGATGCTACAGTCATGAACATTGTCACTCATTATGTGAGTAATGACAAAGAACAATTATTTATCTTAGGTCTAGAGTAGATACTATTAATAACAATAAAAATAATACTAAAAATCGATTTATAAATGAATTCTAAGTTCAAAAATTAAATGGATATTCTGGAAATACAGGTGCTTGCGTTTTATAACTCTTATCCATATGACAATAAGTTATAGTAACGTTTGTTTTTATCAATTCAAAGTTCAAGGGGAAATAATTCTGGAAATAGCCACGCTAGAGTTATGAACATGTGTGTAATGACAAGAAATATATATTTGAAGTTTGAAGTAGATACCTTAAAAAGTACAGGGTTATAATATTTCTAAGTTCAAAGGGAGATAAATCTCAAAAAGAATTGCTTGCAAAGTAATGGACCTTGTCAATTAAGAAGTGGTTGATGAAAGGGAATATGAATTGGAAGTTTTGGGTAGAAAGAAGAAGTTATAGTAAAAAACAACATTTTCAAGTAACAAAGTGTTCATGGGGAGATAATTATTCTTATATAAGAATCTTGTCACCTAAGTGTGGAAAATGATAAGGAACATAAATTTAAAGTATATAGTTGAACCCTTAAGAAATAAAAAAAAGGAACAGTAAAAACTAATATCTTTTAAGGAAAATTCTAAGTTTAATGGGAGATAAATCTGAAAATATTGGTGCTTCAAATAAAAACCTTGTCACATAAGATGTGGTTGATGATAAAAACACATTTTTGAAGTTTGAAGTTGATGTCTTAAGAAATGAAAAAGTTAAAGTGGAAAATAATTATTGCAACAAAACTTTAACATGAAATCTGGACACGGATACAGACGCCGGGCAAGTAGGACAGCTCTCCATATACTTCGTATAGTCGAGCTAAAATTGAAGTCATAGAGAAGGTGAAAGATTATTTAGATAATGAATTCATATAAAACATTTTTATAATACCTACAAAAGATGATCGTATAAGAATAATTTTGAACCTAAAACATTTCAAAGAATTATATATCTAGAAAAACATCAATTTAAAATAGAATCTCTCAGATCTGCAGAAAAGATTATTTTATGGCATCAGTTGACCTATCAGATGGTTTTAACTCCATAAAAAATAGAAAACCAGCGTTATTTCCGATTCTTCTTGAATTATATGAAATGTCAATTTACAGCATTGGTTATGGGGTATCAATCCAGCCCTCGAATTTTCACAAAGATACTGGAACCAGTGTTCGTTTATTTAAGGGCACTAGGTTATGTTACTGTTTCTTTCATTGATGATGTTTGGCTAGTAGGAAATTCTTATCAGTCATGTATGTGTAATGTGAATATAACTGTGCAATTTCTGGATTAACTCGAATTAACGGTTAATCAGAAATAGTCGGTGCTACTACTATATTTCTGCGTCTTTTCCTATTGTGATATCATAATCAATTTTGTTCTCCTTTCTCAAAATTAACTTGACATCAATTATTATCATTCATAGTTGAACACAAATTCTTCCAGGCCGAATTTATAAGAACACTTAGAAAAAAACTTTATGATTCTACAAAAATACAGTTTATTTCTTACCATCTTCGAAATAGTCCAATTCTGAAATAAATAAAAATAAAATAAATAATATATATCATTGTAAGCAGATGAAAATGAAATTTAAATACAGTAACTGTTATGTAATATGATTATTTATCTTATTTCCAAAGTTTTAACTTCAAGTTAATAATTAACCAGTATAACTGTTCAAAATTGTATAATAGATATAAAAGATGATTTCGTCAAACAATCAGCTGTTAAGCGCTGATGAAAATTTTGCAAATTAAAGTCATAATTATCATAGCAGCGCATTTTTAGCTATTTTAGTTTTGTTAGTAATGATACGATATTCCAACCAAAAAATATCGTTTAAGAACAATCTCCCATAGCATAAAAATTTATTGCTTAACATTCTATGAATCATTTGTCAATTTATTGCTGCGTTTTCACTTATTCAATGCGTAACCATATTAAGTTTGTGCTAATTTATCATTTTGAAAATAATATAATAATATTTATTATTCATTTTAGCTGAGTTTTTTTGAAAATAGCAAGCTTTGCTATTTTTGCATGTATTATTTCGGCGAATGAGTAAAACATGTGCATTTCATACAAATTCAACATTTAGCTATTTTGTTTTCGTAATTAGTGATACTCTCATTTTATTATAAAGTAGATATAGGCGTTAAGAGAAAAAGTATGCAAGAAAAAATGCATTTTGTTACCTGATTGGATAATATATCTTTAATTTCATCAAAACTGTTTAGCAATTTTAAACCTTGTTATGTATCTGATACTTATGATCTAAAATGGTATTTCAAGTCGATTTTGTTCTTGTTGGATGAAATATAGTTGTTGTTATAATATTTTGATTCAATAAGGAATATTAAGAATATTGTGTTGTTTCTTTACAATTCTTTGCTTAACTTGTTTAAAACATGTAAAAGACGGGAAAGAAAACAATTTATATAGGTATAATTACCTATACAAGGATGGGAAATTGTACAAATTAACGAAACATTCATAAGGGCAATGAATTAAATACAGTGTTCGAAAATTTTATAAATAACGGACAATTTACTCGTTTAAGGCATAAGTCAATCAACACGCTAATATGATTAACTTTTTTAACAGCTAGACTTGCTACAAACAAAGTCATCTCTATGACATGTGCTATTGACCGATTATATTCTGGCTCGTTTCTTGCACTCCTCTGTAGAAGAAAGACAAAAATTATGGGTATTTATACTTTGCGGAACGGAACGGAACTGAACAAACATTGAGACACCACACGGGGCACAGAAATTTTTTACTAATATGTAAATATATTAAATAAAAAAAAAGAAATATTAAAACTGCCTAGCGATCATTCGATCTAGGGCTTTTTCGAACTGAACCATCTGAATACCTACTTCTAAATGGACATTATTTATATAAAATCTTCGGGATTGCAAACAGTTGTTCCGTTTCGTTCCGCAAAGTATAAATATCCCATAGAAAAATGATATTCTACGGAACGGAACGGAACAAAATTTACTTTTTCTTGTCAATGGAATTTTTCATCCTGGTATATTACAGGTACATGAATTTATTACATGCAACCTGTTTAAAAAAAACTATGTTCTTGACTTATTCAATATAGGAAATCCTATCGCCATAAAAATTTATATATTTAAATGTTTTGCAATTGTTGCAGTAATTTAATATTTATTATTCATATAAACTGACGAATGAAAAAAAATGAGTGGACAATCTAAATATTTTTGGCGATATCAGGACCTCTTTATTATGTATCGAATGGCCGTCATATCCAGTACACTCGTTTTGTATTTATATAAAATTCTAACAAATATTAATAATCATCGTAAGCAAATTAAATTTGAAAACATACTTGCCATATATAAATTATTATTACATGCACTAATAAAGCTGAAATATTACTATTATAGTCAACATTGTGTACAAACCATGTCTTCAACTCTAGACTATTAATTGTGATTCCGTTTCTTTCCACAAAGTATAAAAATCCCCTAGCATAATGATATTTAGCGGAACGGAACGGAACGAAATTTGTCATTCAATACCCATTTCCTCCTTTATAATGCTTGTATAAACTTCACATATAAATAATAATTCATGATGCATAAACACAATCGCAGGCTATCTATCCTGCTAATGAGGACTTGTCACTTGTAGAAATTACAACATTTAAATCAAATACAGAAATGTGGAAACAATCTTTGTTTGTTTGGGGTCTAACACCGTTTTCAACAGTATTTCAGTTATGTAACGATGGGCAGTTAACCTATACAGTGATCTTGGATTCTGAACCCGTCCTTACCTGTTCTCCATAAGTAACTGCCAAGTTCCCTACATGAATCAGAGGTGGGGGACGAATGATGTCACACACAATGTGTTATCAAATAGGCACGGAGAAAATGGCTCGCCCGAGGATCGAACGGCTTGCGACTCTGCGCTCCGAAGACAGAAGCTCTTACCTACAGATCTAAGTGTGCGGGTTGGAAACTATATTATTATCGTAAACAAATCAAATTTGACAACATGTTGGGATTATGATGGAGAACAAGTGTGCAACGTTTCAAAGATCTTCGGATTGCAGAGTCGCAAGCCGTTCGATCCTCGGGCGGGCCATTTTCTTCGTGCCGATTTGATAACACATTGTGTGTGACATCATTTGTCCTCCACCTCTGATTCATGTGGTGAAGTTGGCAGTTACTTGTGGTTGTGGAGAACAGGTTAGTACAGGTACAGAATCCAGGAACACTGTTTAGGTTAACTGCCCATCGTTACATAACTGAAATACTGTTGAAAACGGTGTTATACCCCAAACAAACAAAGATAGTTTCAACATTTCTGTATTTGTTATTGTTCCGTTCCGTTCCGTTAAATATTATTATGCAAGGGTATATTTATACTTTGTGGAACGAAACAGAATCACAATAAATAGAGTTGAAGACACGGTGTGTACACAATGCTGACTGTAATAGTAATATTTCAGCTTTATTAGTGCATGTAATATCAATTTTTATATGGCAAGCATGTTTGTTAATTTAATTTGTTTACGATGAGTATTAATATTTTTTAGAATTTTATATAATACAAAATAAGTGTACTGGATAATATTATGACGGCCATTCAAAACATATTAAAGAGGTCCTGATATCGCCAAAAATATTTAGATTGTCCACTCATATTTTTCATTTGTCAGTTTATATGAATAATAAATATTTAATTACTGCAACAAGTGCAAAACATTTAAATATATAAATTTCATAGCGATAGGATTTCCTATATTGAATAAGTCAATAACATAGTTTTTTTTAAAAACAGGTTGCATGTAATAAATTCATGTACCTGTAATATATAAGGATGAAAAATTCCATTGACAAGAAAAAATAAGTCTTGTTCTGTTCCTACCGTAGAATATCATTATTCTATGGGACATTTATACTTTGCGGAACGAAACGGAACAACTGTTTGCAGTCCCGAAGATTTCATATAAATGGGTATTCAGATGGTTCAGTTCGAAAAAGCCCTAGATCGACTGTTCGCTAGGCAGTTTCAATATTTCATTATTTTTACTTAATATATTTACAATATTTTTGCTGTGCCTCGTGTGGTGCCTCAATGTTTGTTCCGTTCCGTTCCGCAAAGTATAAATAGCCAAAATTATTAGTCAAGATAAATGAAGGATAATAGTGTGAAAATAATTGTTGGGGTAAAATTTTACTTTATCGAGATATTAATATAAACAAATTTACCCAATATAGAAAAGGCAGGAAGAAAATCTGGACTTTTTAAATTTTATCAAGATATCGATGGTTCACTGCATCTAATATATATATATATGGATTTATATTCAATCAACACATTGAAAAACACATTTTCCTTTACTAATTAGTTTCATGCGCAAAACGCAATCTTCAGAAGTGTAAATGGTAGTTCTCAATAAAGGGACGTAACTATGAAGTGTAAATGGTGGTTTCTCAATAAAGGGGCGTAACTATATTAATACTGTTCATCTTTTAAAGTTGCTTAATAGATATTTCCTGGAATGTCTGCAGGTTGATACAAGTTCGTTTCTTTTGTTAAGTTTAGCGTTTTCTTGTTTGCAGATAATGTAGAATTTCTCCCATAGGCACAAGTTGCATCGGTCGGAGGCTGGGTTGTAGGGTGAGGCTTGTTTTAAGATATTTCATGTTATGTTAAAGTCGATGTTTTCTTCTTTGAGTTCCCAGATATATTTACTTAATTCAGTGCTGTTTTTAAGCTTAGGATTTCTAAATGATGCTTTGTGGTTTGTAAATCGGGTTTTAAAGGTATTTTCTGTTAATCCTACATAAGTTTGTTTAGGCTTGTCGTCGTTTGTTTCCACTGTAGCTCTATATACAACCGATTTCACCAAACATCAACCTGACATGGGGCAATCTATTATTTTCCTACAATTGCATGTTTTAGGCTGATTTTTTACTATTTCTTTGGAAAGAATAGCTTTGTTATGTCCGTCGATTATGTTTTTTATATTGTTCATGCAACTATAACTTAATTTGACTGTGTTTCTATTGAATATTTTGTGTAGCAAGTGTTCTTTGGGAAATTCTTCGTCTAGTATTTTCAGAAACGTTTTTCCAATGTTGGTTTCTACATTTTTACTATATGGTGGGTTATACCATATTATATTTCTGCTTCTGTTTTTGCGATTCTTGGTACCGTTGTCAGTCTTTTCTTCATTTGAGTATTTAAGTTGGTGTTTATATCCACTATTTGTAATAGACCTTTGGTAGATTGGTGTTGCTATGTCAAAAGATTCTTGGTCATATGATATTTCGCATAGACGTTTGTTAAAAATAGTAGATAAAACAGGATTAAACCAATGGAAAAGCACAGCAGCCACACTAAAATGGTTTAACAACATCGAACAGAAAGAAAAATACTATTTCATAGCATTCGACGTAGTGGATTTCTACCCTTCAATTTCAGCCGAACTGCTAAATAATGCACTCGATTTCGCGTCAATATACCACGACATCAGTTCTGAG